GTACACTGCTGGTGATGATGCAGACTGGTGCAGCCACTGTGGAAAACACTATGGTGTTACCTCAAAAAATTAAAAATTGAACTGCCATTTGACCCATTGATCCTGCTTCTAGGAATATACCCTAAGAAGCCTGAAACACCACTCAGGAAGAATATATGTACCTCCATTTTATAGCAGCACAATTTATAATAGGTAAGATCTGGAATCAGCCCAAGTGTCTATCAATAGATGAATGGATAAAAAAGCTCTGGTACATATACACAATGGAGTACTATGCAGCTGTAAGAAGAAAGATCTCGTCCTTTGAGACTACATGGAGGGACCTGGAAAGTATTACCCTACGCAAAACAAGCCAAGCAGAAAAAGACAGATACCACATGATCTCACTTATTTGTGGAATATAATGAACATCACAGTCTGAGTAATAGGGTAGTCCCAGAGACGTGGAAGTAGGGTACAGACTGACAACCTTCAGAAGAGGGCGTGGTGGGGGGTGGGAAGAGATAAACCACAGAACTTATATGCATGTACGCATAACCAATGGACATGGACAACAAAGCTGGGGATGGGGGTAATGGGGAGGAGGGTGTCAATGGGGTAAAAAAGGAGAAACATCTGTAACAAAAATAAAGTTAAACAAACAAAAAACATGGATGAGAGAAACATCTTTTGGCTGCCTCCTGCATGCCCCCCACTGGGGATTCGGCCTGCAACCTGGGGACATGCTCTGTCGGGGAATTGAACCGGCAACCTCTTGGTGCATGGGATGATGTAAAAAAATAAATAAAAAGTAAAATAGTAAATATAATTCCCATATACCCATCATTTGGCTTCAATAGTTGTCAACTCAAGACTAGTCTTGTGGCATGGATTCATGAATACCTTTTTGTCTTTGCCTCCCTTACTCCCCCCCCCCCCCCACACACAATTTTGGTTATTGTTGAAGAAGAAGACATTAAGTTCTTTCTTCCCAGTTTCCCACAGTCAGGATTTACCTCCCTTTAACGTTTTTTGTTTGTTTGTTTGTTTTTTATCACATCCTCTGTTCCCTATGTGTCCTGTTAATTTGTAGGTAGGTTCAGAGATTTGAACGGATTCAAGAGCTCCTCTATTTTCTCTGGAAATATATGTTACACATGGTGTTCTGAATAACTTAATACTCCCAAAACTGAGCAGCATAAAAATGTTTCCATTTTAACTTTTCTTTAAAACATCATCTTACACTTAAACAGGGCACAGATAATTGAAGGATATTTATAATCAGGGCCACTAGATGTCTCCCACCTACTCTTTGTGTTATCTATGCCATGTGCTAAAGATAATTGTCACTTCCAGAACTCTGCTGCTTTCTGGTAACCCCTGAACATCCCAGTCCCCAAAATTGTTGATTGTACTTTCTTTTTTCAGAGACAGGTAAGTAAGTAGAATTGGTTCTAAGAGTTTTATAATTTATAATTTTTAAAGTTTTAAAAGCTTATATGGGCATTATACTTCCGTTACTTAAAGTTTTTACTTATTGAGAATTTTTTAAAAAATATATCAACCCTTATATTTAAAAAGCTTACTTACTGGAAAATCATTAAGCAGGATTTGTTTTTAAAACCTTGCCCTGGCTCGTTTGGCTCAGCGGTAGAGCATTAGCCCATGGACCAATAAGTCGTAGGCTTACTTCCGGTCAAAGGCACATACCTTGGTTGCGGTTCGTCCCCGGCCCTGGTCAGTCGCGTGGGAGGCAACCAGTCAATGTATCTCTCACATCAATGTTTGTTTCTCTCCCTCTCTCCCACTCCATCTGATGACAAATAGAAAAATATCCTCAGGTGAGGATTAAAACAAAAAACTATGTTACGTGAGTTTTTTGTAAGTTTTTAAAGTTATTTTTAAATATTTTCATGTCACTCCTAAAATCACAGTTTATTCTGAGAATGGAGAAAGTTATTATATATCATATTTTTCTTGATGGTTCTCTAAAATAGATTCTTATATTCTAGACAGAGTTGTTAAAGACACAGTGAATAATTTCACATGCTGTAGCTTTTGTATTCATAGTTTGCTTTGTTCCACCATCTGAAATGATCTTCCTGTAGGTCAGCTTTACCAATTAGTGCTATTCTTGGGCAGATGAAGCCTAGCTGAAGACAGATGGTTTGTCTATTGCCTTGATGTCTCCATTTTTGTGCAGAAATTTTTGGGGGCATGCCTAGAGAAAAACTGCAGTAGAATAATACTTTCAGTTAAAAAAAGAAAGTAATATCCCAGTCAGATATTTTCATCTCATTATTATCCTCACCTCACTGTATATCCAACCCTTTTAGATGGGAAGTTTAACACACTTTTATCTAAATTTAATACATCTTAGAACCTGTTCTTCTTGGAATGTTTTAACATCTCAAAAGCATATATAACAAAGAATAAGATTTGGGGATTGCAAATCTGGAATACTAACTACTCTTTATATATATTATTAGGATATAACATCTGATTAGAATTATCTTTCATGTTGCGCCATCTTGCATGGTGCTCATACAATGTCTACTGTTACAAATTCTAGGATTTCATTTCAACCTATTTTAAATAGCACTTTTATTCACATGCGTTCAGCATATAGTTATAAAACTCCTATAAGACACTATGCTAAATTCCACAGATGATACATGAATGAATTCAAAAACCCAGTTAAAAACATCATAACCTTGTGTGTGGGAGTTATGATAAGAGAGATTTAGCAATCATCAGAGTAAGAAGTAGCAATTGGGTGCTCTCCCTTTCAGGAGCACGCCCACACCTTTTTTTCCTCTGAGCCATGCATCTTTACTTTTCTATCCTAAACTCTATGTATAAGGGTCCCCATGAAACTTACAACCAGGGGAGCAACAGATAGTAGCAGCCCATCTCAGGCTAACCCCCTGAACCTGTCTTCAAGGCCCCCCTTTTCTATCTTTTCAGTGACCTAAAGCAGGCCCACCTTGGCTCAGTTCTCTCCTGTGGCATTTCTAGGACCATTTGTCCAGGCCAAAGCAGCCCTACCTAAGCTCTCTCATGTTGCTTATTCTATCCTAAGCTGTTCTTGTTTCACCGTCCCCAGCTTTAATAAATGTACTCTCAAAATAAGAAAATAAAGAAGTAGCAATTGATTAGAGACATAAGAACTCACTATGAAATGATGTAAAAGATTCAGAAAAGCTATAAGCAAGAGAAGCCATTTTAGCTGGGCCTTGGAAGACAAATCAGTGTTGGTATTGCAAAGCTGGGAGTGGGAAGGAGGTGCAAGGGAGGGGGGACCTTAGTGAACAAGGGCACCAAAGCAAGAATATATGAGGTATGTTTGGGGGAAAGTAGTGGGTTGCTATTTGAAATACTGGGGAGAGGGGCGTGGAGAGCCTAGCAAGTGGTTGGTTTGCAAGTTAGGTTAAAATTTACATCGATGAGATTGGACTTTTGGAGACCATGGGAATAACACAGTGAAGCCTGTGCTTTTAGGGAGGTTCATGTGGTAAGAATATTTGAGATGGGTATATCAAGGCAGTGCAGTAATTCACGTGAGTGGTGCAAGGTGAGAAGGTCTTAAGTCATGACACTGGCATGAAGTGGAGGACAGGGAAGCTCCTAGGAGGTGTTACAGGCTAGGAGAGGACGGGTTCAGAAATGGCTCTTGTTGAGGGCATGGCTTAAACTCAGATGTTATTAAAAAGAAACAGTCGATTGCTATAACATTGTTAGTTAAGTTTCCTCCTTATTCTTAGTTCTAGAGCCAGTACAAAAGCCTCATGAAGGTCCTGGAGAAATGGGGAAACCAGTCGTCATTCCTAAAGAGGATCAAGAAAAGATGAAAGAGATGTTTAAAATCAATCAGTTCAATTTGATGGCAAGTGAGATGATTGCACTTAACAGATCTTTACCAGATGTTAGGTTAGAAGGGTAAGTACTTAGTATGGTCCTGATAGTATTTAATTTGAATGAAAAGTATATTCTGAATTCCTAATCAGTTGCACATTAGTGGTGACCGTTCCTGAAATGAATGTTATATCATTGATTTACTACATACCCCACTGAAAAATAATTAAATGCTGCTAAACGAATACCTCAAGTTACTAGTGATCATTAGGACTAGTATTTCAGGCTTTGGAAAAGAATTGTGTATCTTAATAGATTAAGATAATAGGAGGTTTTAAACTTCATTATTACCAAAACATTCATATTATCGACTTAAAAAAATTTTTTTTCTTTATAGATTTTAGAGAGAAAGGAAGGGAGAGGGAGAGAGAACATTGATTAGCCACCTCCTGCATGCCCCCAACTGGGGATTGGACCCACAACCCGGGCATGTGCCCTGACTGAGAATTGAATTGGTGATGTCTGTGCTGCATGGGTCAGTGTTCAACCTCTGAGCCACACCGGCTGGGCCATATTACTAGCTTTTAAAAAAAGATTCTTTTAAGTTTTCTGTAACTTAAAACAGTTAAGTATACAGTTGTAAGTGTACAGATTACTAAATTTTTACATATGTATGTACCTGTCTGTCATCCAAATCAAGATACAGAACATTTCTATCACCCTGAAAGTTCTCTTACGTTCTTTTCCAGGCAATATTCCCAACCTGAGAGACAACCTTTGTTTTGACCTTTCTAATTGTAGATGAGTTTTTTTCTTTTTTGGTACTTTTTATAAATGGACCCATACAGAATATACTCTTGTGTCTTTGAAATCCATGTTGTTGCATCTATCAGAATTTTATTCTTTTCTATTACAGTGTAGTGTTTGTTAATGTGAATATACCATAGTTCACTTACACATCGATAAACATTTGGGTTGCTTCTACTTTTTGTGTATAATGAATTAAGCTGTTGTGACATTTTTGAGCATTTCTTTTGGAGGACTTAAGATGTCATTTCTGTTTGGTGTCTTGGGGAAAAGGAATGAGGAATACATTTATATAACTTTAGCACATGCTGCCAAACATTTTTCCATAATGGTTTGACCAGTTTTCACTCTTACCAGCAATAAAAGAGACCACTTGCTTCATATGAAGAAGGTAATGCATAGTATCTGGACTAGAGGACAACAGGGCCAGTTAAAAGCAAGGGTACTGTAGAAAACACAGGTGGGTTAAGTGAACATATATATTGCTGAGACCCTAGCCACCTTGCTATCTGAGGCTCCCATTAATGCCAGCTTCCATGCCGTCTTGTCCAGGCAAGAAATTGGAGGATCTGTCTCGGCAGAATTGGACTAGCCCTAGAGAAAAAAAATGCAAACATCAACATCAGAGATTCTGCAATTTATGTCACAGCCTAATCACATCACCCCAGTGGAAAGTCATAGTCAGTAGGCCTCACTCATATATTCAGAACTTATATTCAGCTTTTTGATTTTCCATTTTTATAACAAGCAGATAACCAAGGAATACTAAACATCAGAGGACACCCGCAAACATGAAAAGTATAGTCTAAAGCAAACAGAAACAGCAACTTGGAGGAATCAAAGACTATTCAGGGAGAAGACTACTTGAAAAGAAATAATTAACATTCTCAGTGATATAAGAAAACGTATTACAACCATAAAACAATAATAGGATACTAGTAAAAAGATTCACTGAGAGAGCCAAAAAGACCTTTTGGAAATTTTTTTTAAAAAAGCAAAAACTCAGTAGCAGGTTGGGAGGAAATATTCCATGAAGATGGCCCAAAGGAACAAAGTGGTGGGCAGTAGTAAAAGCACATGAAATTGAAGTGGCAATCAAGGAGGACTAATATTTGATTAATAGGAGTATCAAAAAGAACAACAACAACAAAAGGGGGGCGGGGGGATGATTTGTCCACAAAATTTTCCAGAACTGGACTATCCAAGTTTTCAGATTGAAAGAGCCTATCATGTTTTCAGGACAATAGATGAAAACCCAAGACATTGTGAATTTTAGAACACTGGGCCCTGGTGGGTTTGGCTCAGCGGTTAGAGCATCAGCCCCCGGACTAGAGAGTCCCAGGTTTGGTTCCCGCTAAGGGCACATACCTCGGTTACAGTTTGTCCCCAGCCCCTGTTGGGGCAACCATTTGATGTGTCTCTCTCGCATTGATGTCTCTCTCTCTCTCTCTTCCCCCCTCTCTCCTTCCCGCTCTATCTGAAGATAAATGCAAAAATGTCCTCGGATGAGGATTAAAAAAAAAAATTTTAGAACACTGGGAATCTTCCTATACAAAAGATCTATAACTTAGGTTTTTAATAAAGAAACTATAGATTTCTTTAGAGAAGAAGGCAGGTCACAAATAGCAGCTCTGGAAACAAAAGAGCAAATTTCTAAAGGAATAGTTTCCAACCTAGAATTTTATATTCATTTAAACTTACAGTCAAGTGCGCAGGTTAAATAAGGACTTTTTTTTGGATATGCAAGGTCTCAAAATATTGAACTGCCATGCATCTTGTCTTGGGAAGTTATTAGAGAGTGTGCTCTACCAAATCAGGACTTAAACTAGTGGTTCTCAACCTGTGGGTCACACCCCCTTTGGGGGTCGAACAACCCTTTCACAGGGGTCACCTAAGACCATCAGAAAACACATTTCCTATGGTCTTAGGAATTGAGACACCGCTCCTCTATTCGTCTCCAGGTGGGTCCGCCCACATGTAGATATGTCCACATACAACATGAGGAACTGTATTAAAGGGTCGCAGCATTAGGAAGGTTGAGAACCACTGACTTAAACTAAGGGCAAAAAGGACACAGGACATGAAAGGCAGGAGATCTATCCAACATGGGTGAGAGATGTTAGGAATCCCTGGAGACTGGTGAAGGAAGAGCCCTGGAGAGTTGTGCAGGCAGAGAGACAACCATTCCAGATAGGAACAGGTTAGAAAATGCATTCCACCCTGGCTGGTTTGGCTCAGCGGTTAGAGCGTTGGCCTGCGGTCTGGAGAGACCCAGGTTCGGTTCCCACTAAGGGTGCGTACCTCGGTTGCAGTTTGTCCCCGGCCCTAATTGGGTTGTGTGGGTGGCGACCACTCGATGTGTCGCTTTCACGTCGATGTTTCTCTCTCTCTCTCTCTCTCTCTCTCTCTCTCCCTCCCACTCTATCTGAACAAAATATCCAAAAAAAAAAAAATGTCCTCGGGTGAGGATTAAAAAAAGAAGAAAATGCATTCCAGTAGAGCTTCAAGGTGTTGAAATCATATCTGATACAGCTGAATGTCTTTAGAAGAGATTTAGACAACTGATGAAGAGTTTGGGATGGAATTACTAATAAGTACATTGAAAACCATAGTAAGGAAAAAACTTAATCATTAACTCCAGGGAATGCTTTTTTTTAACTTAAAAATTGATTTAGAGATATTAAAAAAAATTGATTTAGAGAGAAAGAGTGAAACATTGATGTGAGAGAGAACATCAATCGGTTGCCTCCTGCACACGCCCGGACCAAGGATTGACCTGCAATGTGGGTATGTGTCCTGACCAGGAATTAGACCCACCACCTTTTGGTGTAGGGGTGACACTCCTGAGCCACACTCCAGGGCTCCAGGGAAAGCTTTCAAAAGTTGTTCAGAGAAAGTAAAAATAATCATAGTTTACTGCATGGCAGAGTAGTGAATGAATCATAATATAACCATTTAATATTGTGCATGTAAAAATTAAACTGAGGGGATGGATAGTATCTGTTCAGCAAATTGGTTAAGTGGAGATCAGTCAAGAGAAGCTTTACTGTAATCTTAGATTTCACAAGCTATGTTTACTTTCCTGAAAAATTTAGGAATTGAAGAAAGCTAGACTCTTCAGGGAAGCCTACAGTTAAAATTTTAATGTTACATTCAAAAGAGCCTCAAATATTGTTTCTTATAGAGTTATTTTTGTAATTTTTATAATTACCAAGCACACAACCCCTCTAACACATCTTATTAAGCATTTTGTTTTAAAAATAATAAGTGCAAAAATCAGGCCTATGGTTTCATATTTTAACTTTGCAAATATTAGTACAACATATGCACATATCCTTGTGCTACTTTTACAGGTTGTTTTGTTCAGGCATTGATACTGAGATTTATCCATGTCAATACATGTAGTTCTGGGTCAATCATTTCAACTGCTTTTATGAATATACCATACTTATCTATTGTTCTTTGATTTTATGTGTATATGTTTACCTTTTAGTTATTAATGGATCATGAAATCCATTTAGTATTTTAGTTAGTAGAATAGACTTAGGATATCAGAGCATGTCTCATATAATCAAGGTGTTTTTTTCCCCATTAATCGTTTCAGTATCTATGTGCTACATTAACAAAAAATAATTATTTCTGCGGGCTATGATAAAAAAAAACCCGTAGATGTAAAATTATTATGCTAAAAGGTTGTGTTTATTTCATTCGATTTTTAAAATAATTGTTCCCACAGTAGTTTTACCAGTTTACACTTTCCACCTGCAGACTTTTCTCTGCATATTCTTGCGGAGTACAGTAGTGGTGTGACGGAGTCCACGAGGGAGACAGAATAGTGGCATGGACTGGGCTACACATGTGAAGATGTTTGCAATTCTGATTGCACTTTTTTTTTTAATCTTCACCCGAGGACACTTTTGCATTTATCTTCTGATAGAGCGTGAGGGAGGGAGACAGGGAGAGAGAGAGAAACATCGATGTGAGAGAGACACATCGAGTGGTTGCCATCCTCACAATCCCAATGAGGGCTGGGGACAAACTGCAACTGAGGTACATGCCGGTAGTGGGAACCGAACTCGGGCCCCTCTGGTCCACAGGCCGACACTCTAACCGCTGAGCCAAACTGGCTGGGGCCTGTTTGCATTTTTAAGATGGAAGCAACAGCATACTGGTGGGTTGGATATGGAGCAGAAGAGAAGAAAAGGAGTTAAGAATTCAGGCTTCCTGAATTACACTGATACTTGCCAAGATGGAAAGAAGAGGAATGTAGAAATATAGGGATAGAAATTAAGAGTTCTTAGCACATATTTATAAAAATCTTCTAGTGTTGGGGAGAGGTTGAAGTCATAGTCATCAGGGGCAAGAGAAATTGAAGACAGGGACTGGATGAGATGAAAAGAGGTTAAAGATTGAGGAGAGGAATTTCTAGCAAGAGTCTGAGAAGGATAAGATGCAGTATGAGGGAAAAGGTATACACTGCCTAAGAAACCAAGCAAATATTTCGTGGAGAAAGTGGTTAACTACTGCTAACAGGTAAAGTAAATTAACTTCTCTAAATTTACCAATGGATTTCAGTATGTGGAAATTGTTAGAACTTGGACAAAATTGTCTCTGTGGAGTGACAGGAATGAAACCCTGCTGAAAAAAATAGAGAAGACTTCCACTTTTTTTAGTTGTGGCCTTGGTGATCTGTACCAACTCTCCAGTTGACACCTAGAGAGTTAGAAAAAGTATAAACATCCTCTACTTGAAAACATTGAGAAGTTAGAAAACAGAGCTTAGAAAGTAGTGAAGAAATACAGAGCCAAAATATAGAAGGAGATGGGAACTCAGAGCATTGGGCCTAGAATTTGGAGGCCACTTTTTACCTAAAGGCATCTGCTGAATCCAGATTTATATTTAGAAACTTAGTACTGCTCTTAATGGTCTTTTGGTGCTAGGGCATAAAAATTGGAGTCTAGAGCCTACCTAAGTGCATATTGTTGCGGAAGGGGGGGTGGGGTTCTGATAGCCCCTTCTATAATGCTTTAATTTAGGCTCCTAGAAGTAATGATGGAATTGAGGTAGATCAGGTCATGAAGCCCAATTCCAAACTATCTCAATTCATGAAATTGAATTAAGGTGATTAGGGTTTACTAGTGCCTCTAGCTCCCTTAGAAGCAACTGTCTGGCTTGCAATCAAGAAAGAGCAGACATGTGAGGAAAGAAGGCAAATGAAAGAAAACAAACAGTGGACAATGGAAATAGACCAAAAAGGATTCCAGATAATGGAGTTATCAGACACAGACTTTGAAATAACTGTACATAATATTAATGTGTTCAAGAAGATTAAAAACAGGATTGAAAATTTCAGCAGGAAATGAATCTATTAGAAAATAACCAAATGGAAATTTTGGAACTGAGAAAGTACAATAATAAAAATTAAAAACACAGTGGATGGGTTTAGCAACAGATTACACTTAGGTGAAGAGAGAATTAGTGAACTGAATTACAGATCAGAAGTAAATATCCAAAATGAAGCATGGAGAGTTAGAAGGATGGAAAATAAAGGACAGATAGTGAGAGATATAGGAGCTACAGTTAGAGGTCTAAAA